TTTAGTAATTCAACAGTGTATTTCTAGATTTAACAGTATTCAAAAAAGGAAGTATTTAGTGTATGATCTAGAGAAATTGTGATTGGGCTTGTCGATTTTTTAAAAATTAGTCATATTTATTTTTTAGAAACTTAGAATAAAACATAATTTAATATTAAATAAACAATTTTAAAAAATTAAGTTTTCGATAACAAGGAAATAATATTGGATGGTTATTAAAGAAATAAAAAATTTATATTAAGAAATAAAATAAAAAAAGAAATAATAAGATAATATTATAGAGAGAGAAGAAAGTTCCTTTTTTTAGAGATCACTTCTTACCAAAAACAGCCTTTTATCTTTCACTATTTATCATTTCCGTCAACACACGTCTCCTTCCGGTCAGCGCCATCCCACACTCAGCCCTCAGGCGAGTGGAGTGTCTCTTATGTTTATGTAAGTTTTTCTTCCATTTTTCTTTTCATTTGTAATTATAAGTAGAAACCCTTGCTTTTGTTAGCTAAACATATAGTTTAGATTTATATACGACATTATAAGCTGTTGTTTGAAAGAGATCATAAAAATATTCACAGGGAAATTTGGCCTTAACATGTACGACTTGAGCAACAGAAGATGTTATTCAATGGTTTCACTGTGGTTTTTCATTGTTTATAGTATTTTAAATTACAGGGTACGACTCCTTGCTTTGATTTACCCATGCAAGGAGTATGTGTTTTCAGGAGTTTATTGTACAAATTTGAATTCTAACTATCAAAATTGTTGCATCTATTTATTTGCTTGACTTTTCCCAATTAACTTGTGAAATTCAAAGAGAACATACTTCACTTCATCAATTTGGGGAATCTTAATAACCCGTGAAAATTTCCACCTTTCAAACAATTGCACAAAGGGATGAACTTTCATGACTATAGTTTTCATGACATATAAAAGTTATATAGGTAGGAGAAGAAGGCACAAAGCTTGGAATGTTACTCCTCTTGCTTTTCTGTGGGTCATCTGGTAGGATAAAAATAGGAGAGATTTGAAGGAGTGGAGGTGAGTTTCACTCAATTGAGGAGTAGTCTTCGATCCCTTATAGTTTTTCTGATGCACTCATGTAGTTCCTGTTTGTATAGAGGATCGAGCGTCTTTTGGAGAAAACCATATTCTGTAGGTTTCTCCTTCCTGTATATGGCCAACTTTTTGACTTGCTCCATTTTTTGGCATGATCTTGGCCTTGTTTGATTGAAAACCCCTAGTTTACTTTAAGTGAAATTCATCCAAGATTCTTTCAGTTGGTAGTTTCCAGATTTGGGTTTCGAATTCGTTGAATTAATTTTTGGTTCATTTTCATTTAATTTTGGCATTTGCACTATGCCTCCTATGACTTTTAGCTTTGTGCACAGTCAAAAAGGATGACTTATTTCTTAATAGTCAGACATGAATTGAATTCTTGGGGTGTTCCCAAGAGATAACTATTAAGTCCATTTAAATTTGTGTTGATCTCGCGTTATGAGAACATAAATTCATCTAGATCTCTGCATATCTTTTTGGTTAAGTAGCTAATGATTATTTTTGGACCTTCCTTTATTTTCCCAATATCTATGAGAAGAGGGAATGGGAGAACGAAAACCCTGTTCATCTTTGCATTTGCTGAAGTTTCTTATTCAAAAATTGTAGCTCCTTGACTGCCCATATAATGGCCCCAAAATCAGTTTCTTCCTTTACTAACAAAGAACATGTCTCCTTCGGCATCTTGATGCCATTTTCTTTCCAAGGACGTGTTCATGTACTACTGTCGTTGCCAACTGCCCCAAGGGCAACGAGAAGATATCTTTTTCCTTAAGGTGCTACTTTATCGATTGTTTCTGAGTGGGTTAACTATTACTAAGTTTTTGACTGAATTCCACGTCCTGTGAGGAAGACAGAGAGCCTATATTGTTTGAGTGTATACTAGATGTGAAGGCTGAGACGAGCAGAAGTGTGGATTTTGATATAATCTTTCTGTTCACACATCTCTCCACATCCATAATCAAGATTCCGGAAGTAATGAAATTCAACTCTCCAACAGTATATGATATTTCTATGAACCATTAAGTTGGTTCTTAGTGTTATTGTTGAGCTGATTCTTAGTGTTACTGTTGGAAAATCAACAAAAAGGCCAAGGTATCACTAAAAGTCTTGTAAATTCACGAGGTGTTAAAACTTATACAAAGCATTAAAGGAATGTGAAAACACTCGTAAATAAAGTGAGTTGTTAAAATTGAACAGGGAGAATTCGACTTTTTTGAGAACAAGAAATTTTATATGTTGGATGTGGATGATGATGACTACAACAGTTAGCCTATTTATAAACACTAAAGCTAGCTGCTGGGCTCCCTTTCCCGCTTGACTGCTTTCTACTAGATTTCCTCCATCATTCTTGTATATTTGGATCAATGCCTAATATCTTATGCTTGATAGGCGGATGGATTGGCTGAATCCTTAATTTTAGTGGTTGGATTATCTGACGAAGAAACACTCATCCGTTCACAATCTGTGAGAACTTAGTTGTTAACTAGTTCCTCCAACTGTAAGAGCTTCCTTGAACTTGGTCAAATACGGTAACCCTCACATACCATGCTAAATTGAGTTATAGCTGTCTCTTGAATTTATCTTCTTGGACAGCCCATTCTCGTCATGATCTTTGCCAAAGAACTTCTTTATTGACTGGCCAAGCCCATTTTAGGCCTAATCCATCACTATGAAGATGATTATAGTTCTGCAGCAAACTAGCTTCAAAGGATTTTGTTTTTGACTTGGATTTTGATCCTTAAGTTGATATGTGTCGAATCTTGGCATTTACAATAGGAAAAGAAGAACTAACTTCCCAATTATAGTAATTATGATTCCAAATTCTTTTCAATCAAGGACCTATGAAAAAGGCAAAGAAAATCTAGCAGAACGATAAGGAAGAGATGAAAAAGATCTCTGTTTATACACTTCTAAATATCTACTTATTTTTTTAAGCACACTATTTAGTAGTATTTACTTTAGTATAACATTTTTTTGGTGCTTTAAAGAGAATCTTTTATATTAATATCTTTTGCAGGCTAATGGTGTGAAAGTGTAAAATCAACCAAAATCTGGAGAAGAATAGCGGGTGACTTGGTGGAGTTTTTAACAGTCAGCGAGCTGTGTATATCCTACTCTATAGTTGAAGAATATCTGGAGATATAGGATCGTTACAGCACAATGTAAATCTCTGACCAAAACAGCAATGCTCGAGAAGGAGAGGATTGAAGAAGAAGAGGCTGTTGTAAGCTCATTAATCCTACTTCTGATACGTGTTATTGTACCTTACCTTTTTGGTCCTATTTGTTATTGTGGGCCTTCAAGAAGGTTACCGAAGGGAGATTGTCTCGGATTCATTTTTTAATGTTTCTTGCTACTTCCTATCATTAGTTCTGGACAGAGTCAGATTGAATTTAAAAGCAAAATGATCATAGGCATAGTTGTTATTCTTTTTGAATATGAACCTCCTCTTGTGAAGAAAAAGTGTCTTTAAATTCTCTTAGGCTGATGGTTGGAAAGAAGATGATAAACAAAAAGATGGAGCTGAAATTATTGTTGATGTAATGGCTTCAACAGTCACTGAACAATGTGCATGCTCCCCTGAAGGTGGTGAAGATTTGTCCGTAGATATGGGGTGCTCTTCAGCTCAACTTACAAGTCAGTCGGAACCACCACTAGCTGAAGAAAAGAGGAGTGAAGAGCGAGAGACCATTGTAAGTCATTTGTTCTACTTCTCAGTGTGTACACTATTTTTTCTCTGCCACTTCACTGAACTTGTCATTCAAATAATAGAGTTTTAAGAACAGATGATAAAAGGAGATCCAGTTTTGAATTTGTGTTTAATTGCAAACTTTTGTTTCTTTTGACAATAGTTAGAGCTAAAATAGATGCAAATATTAAGTTGTTCCTTTCATAAACTATTTAGTAAGCATAATTACTTGTTTTGTGGTTACTTTTTAGTATAAATTTGCTTATGGTATTTTCAAAAGTTCTTTGTCAATGGATCTCTCTAGGGTAATGGTGAGGAAGGTTATAATCACGAGCACTAAGTGATGATGTTGTGGTGGTGCCTTCAATGGACAATTAAATCTGGTTGTCCAACAGTGAAGTTGAAGAAATGCCCGTACAGATGGGGAGCTTTGGGTTCCACTTCAACTTTTGACCAGACAAGCAGTATTTAAAAGAAAGAACAAAGATAAAGAAGTTGGGGATAATAAATTACCCTTAGGCCTAACTCAACCCCAAAAAAACTATCTCAAGAAGCGAGGATTACTCAAAACGACCACCTATTTGAGATGCTTAACACTCTTCTGCTCGCCAAAGTCTGGACATTTGGAGGAATATAACATGGGACCCAACCTTTCATAAACCAAGAATTACATGCTCATGACTGGACATCTGGAGCATGAACAACATAATATAGGGGCTTAACATAAGGGTCCAACATTGGGTAAACCAAACATATGATTGAGTATGGCTCTAATACCACGTGGGAAATAAAGTCGCATGAAAGAATGTGGACAGAAAGCTTAGATTGATTATTGCCTTAAGCCTTTTGGGTGTTTAAATAGTGAAGTACACCTATTCTAAAACGGGAAAGAAAATTAAGATTACTGTTTATTAATATTGATTTCCTGGCATAATTGTAGGAGTAATTGATATAGTATTGATGATAATTGATTATGTAATATTTCTTTCCTTATTTAGTCGTAGGTATTATTGTATAAGTACCCATTCTCATGTGATGGAAATTCATCAAGTAGTAGAAAGAACCGTTTTCTTCTCCTTAAAGTGCTCATGGTATTAGAGCCATTGCTGCCTTTTTGAGGTGAGTTATCCTCGCTTGCATCACTAGGGTTCTTTTTTTTTAGAGTGGTAACTTTTCATCTATATATCTACATGTATGCTACATCAAAAAATGTATTCCCCCATAAAAGTATTACCGTCTATATCACTGGATTTTGTTATGAAGTGAAGATCAGTGTAGCAAAATTATGGAGAGGTGGGGATTCGATATCGGAACAAGGCTACAGTAGTAACTGAATTTTGGAAGAAGTAACTAACGTTAGAAAGGAACGGCTAGGATTTAATGGGAAGCAATGGTGAGGATGATGTAGAGGAGAGAGAAAGAAAACTAAGTTTTGGAAAAGTCACATTTCTTTCCTTTCCGCTTCTCACGTTTCTTTCCTTTCTGCTTCTCTGTTTCTCTGTACTTCCTTTTGTTCTCATCCTTCTTCTTCGTTTCTCACTTACAACTTTCCTATGGAGGTTATGAAGTTCTTAGTTGATAGTTCATTACGTGTAATTGAGACTTCCGATCATCAATAAAGTTGGTTTGGTTTCTGTGATTTCCAATTCAAATTGTAAATTGAATTTGTGATCCTATTAAGGTCATAACAGTTGGTATCAGAACCTTTGAACCTGTGTGATGGCTGAGGGTACATGCTGGAAGATTATAGAGGATAAGCTAACAAGGCACGATGAAATGCTAGCCGATCTGCTGAATTCACAAGAGGAAGTACGTCATGCTCAAACTGGAATTCAAGGAACACTGGACTTAATTTTTGAGAGATTGGGAGTGTTGGAGAGAGCTCAGGTGGTTTCGAATGTGGGAGCAGGTTTACTACCTATTACGAATGTGGATAATCGCAATAGAGCTCAGCCGAATGCAGTGACATTACCTAGGTGGGAGTTACCTTGTTTCGCAGGTCAGGAATCGAAGGTGTGGATCCGAAAATGTGATAGATTTTTTACACAGTACAGAGAAGGTAATGAACAGAGGGTAGAAATGGATGCGTTGTATTTGACTGATGTAGCAGAAGTGTGGTATCAGTCAATGGTGTTAAGTGGAGGAATACCGAATTGGATTGAGTTTAAAGAGGATTTGATAAGTAGGTTTGGGGAAATTGTAGTGAGTGATGTGGCGGAAGAATTTAATAAATTGCAACAGATCGGAACTGTGGAAGAGTCTTTAGGACAATTTGAGGATCTAAAAGCTCAAATTCTTATACGAAATCCGGCTTTGAATGAAGCTCACTTCCTATCTAGTTTCGTTAGAGGACTAAAAGAGGAGATCAGATTAGAGGTGAAAATGTTCAAACCGAGGACATTGAAGGAAGCTGTAGAGAAAGCGAGAATGAAGGACATGGCAATTGAAGCTGGCTGAAGGTGAAACAGAGTAGCAAACCGAGTGTTGCCGGCAGCTGTGCAAGGAGTAGGAAAAACATCTACTGCAATGGTTAATCGGAATGGACCTTATCGGCTTACTCCTAAGATTTACGAGTTTAGGAAGTCGAATCACTTGTGTTTCCGATGTGGTGAGAAATATGGGCCGTGACATATTTGTAAAGTAAGGCAGTTGAATTATTTGACTGGTTTCGTTGAGGGTGATAAAGAAGGTGATCAAGTTTCAGAATTGGATGACAATGAAGACATTACCATTGAAGGAGTAGTTGAATAGGAGGTACAATAGGCTGTTTGTTTAAATGCATTGACGGGCCATAATATGGGGAAAATACAATTTTGGTGGGAGGAACTGTAAAGAAGAGACACTTGGAAATACTGATTGAAGAAAGGTCAAGCTATAGTTGCTCATCTTTTTATGATGAACATGATAAAAAAACAGCGAGGATGAAGTAATTGAAGAGGGACAACAGAAACTGTTAGATAAATATGGGGACATCTTTGCGGAACCAAAGTCTTTGCCACCAAAGAGATTGTTTGATCATGCGCTACCCCTCAAACTAAGAGCTGTACCTGTCAGTTTGAGACCCTATCGGTATAATTCCCATCAAAATAATGAGTTGGAGAAGCAAGTAAAAGAGATGTTAAGCAATGGAATCATACAGGCTAGTCAATCACCTTATTCATCACCGGCATTGTTAGTAAAAAAGAAGGATGGTACCTGGAGGTTCTGTGTCGTTTATAGAGGGTTAAATGACTTGACCATTAAGGACAAGTATCCAATACCAATTGTTGACAATTTGTCAGATGAACTGCATAGAGCGTCGATATTTTCTAAGGTGGATTTGAGAGCTGGGTATCATCAAATTAGGATGAAGATGGAAGATGTACACAAGACTGCATTTCGTACTCACATGGGCCATTATGAGTTTCGAGTAATGCCCTTTGGACTCACTAATGCCCCAGCAATATTTCAAGCCTTAATGAACCAGATTTTTCGATTGTTTATTCGAAAGTTTGTCTTAATATTTTTCGATGATATACTAATCTATAGTAGAAACAATGCAAAACATTTACAGCATCTGCAAGTGGTGTTTAATATTTTGAGAATGAATGTGTTGTTTGCAAAGAGATCTAAATGTTCTTTTGGTCAAGCAAAGTGTACTTAGGCCATGTTATTACTAAGGAAGGGGTGACTACTGATCCTCATGAGGTTCAAGCTATGGTGGATTGGCCTAGACCCAAGACTTTACGGGCTCTAAGGTGGTTCCTTGGTTTAACCGGCTACTATCGAAAGTATGTACAGAATTATGGACCATCAGCAGACCACTCGCTGATTTGTTAAAGAAAGAAGCCTTCAAGTGGAATAGTGAGGCTGAAAATGCATTTGAAAGTCTTAAGAAAGCTATGAAGACTACACCGGTGTTGGCTCTTCCTGATTATACTCAAGAATTTGTGGTGGAAACTGATGCGGGCCATGGGGGTATTGGGGCTGTGCTAATGCAACAAGGGAAGCCAATTGCGTTCTTTAGTAAAGTGTTGGCTCCTAAACATCGAGGTAAATCTATTTTTGAAAAAGAGTATATGGCTCTACTTAATGCGGTGGACAAGTGGAGACATTATTTACAGTTTAAACACTTTGTTGTTAAGACTGATCATCACAGTTTGAAACACTTGTTAGAACAACGAGTGACTTCGGCTATACAACAGAAAGGTTTAACAAAATTGTTGGGTCTTGATTATGAGGTGTGTTACAAAAAGGGCGCCGAGAATAGAGTGGCTGATGCTCTATCTAAGCGACAAGAAGGATTGCAGGCAGACGAGATTTCGGAGGTAGGATTATTGATGGCTGTGAGTATGATCACGCCCATGTGGATCCAAGAAATTATGCACAACTATAGTGAGGATTCGTTTGTTCAAGAATTAATGACCTTGTTATCAGTAGACACACACGGGCCTAGTTTGTGGCATAATGTTACTGGTGTTTTGAGGTGTAAAGGCAAGGTTTATGTGGGTTCTCAAGGGCTTTTACGGCAGCAACTCATTTCCAATTTTCGTGATACTCTTTTGGGTGGGCATTCGGGTCTGTTAGGTACTTTGAAGAGATTAACTCAATATTTCTATTGGACTTAAATGAGGACTATGGTGAATGACTATATGGCTCAGTGTGAGGTATGTCATCGTAACAAAGACGACAATGCAGCATATCCGGGTTTACTTCAACCTTTGCCGATTCCGAATGAAGCTTGGAGTCATGTTAGCATGGATTTTATAGAGGGGTTACCAAAGTCTCAGAATAAAAGTTTGATCTTGGTGGTGGTTAATCGTTTCACCAAGTACGCTCATTTTATAGCTATGGCTCAGCCCTTTACTGCTCTGATAGTGGCTGAATTATTTTGGAAGCGAATCCACAGGTTACATGGAACTCCAGAGTGTATTGTATCTGATCGAGACAAAGTATTTTTGAGTAAATTCTGGCAGGAAATGTTTCGGCTATTAGGTACATAGTTGCATTATAGTTCAACCTATCATCCTTAGAGTGATGGCCAAACTGAGCGAGTCAATCGATGTTTGGAGAACTATCTTCGTTGTATGACTGCTAATCTACCTATTCAGTGGAAGAAATGGTTGTCTGCTGCAGAATGGTGGTATAACACCAACTTCCATACGGGCTTGCAATGCACTCCATTTGAAGCGTTGTATGGATATACTCTGCCTCAACTTTCGATCGGGCCTCTTCTGGAAACAATAGTACAGGAAGCAGAGGATGTAGTGATGCATCCACAACAGTTTCTTCAGTTATTAAAGGATAATATCGCTAATTCCCAAGCTCGGATGAAATTTTTTGCGGATAAGAGAAGAACTAAGCGTGAGTTTGCAGTCGGCGATTGGGTTTATTTGAAACTTCAACCTTATAGGCAGACTTCATTAGCTTTAAGAAGGAATTTAAAACTCAGTTCTAAGTATTACGGTCCATATCTAATACTTGAGAAGGTGGGGTTAGTGGCTTACAAATTAGCTCTACCTATGCAGTCTAAGATTAACCTGGTCTTTCATGTATCGTTGTAAAAAAAGATGGTAGGCGATCGAGTGGTAGTACAGTCGGAGTTGCCTTATACGAATGATGCAGGGCAGTTCTTGGTGCAACCAGTGGCTATTTTGCAGCGACAAATGGTCAAACGTAACAATGTGGCAGTGGTGCGCGTACTAGTGCAATGGTCTAATCTTCCACCCGAGGATGCTACGTGGGAGGATTATGAATTTTTGCGTGCTATTTTTCCCGGTTTTGACTCTATTCCTGGAGGTCAAGGATTCTTTGATGCGGTGGGGAATGTTATGAAGTGAAGATCAGTGTAGCAAAATTATGGAGAGGTGGGGATTCGATATCGGAACAAGGCTACAGTAGTAACTGATTTTGGAAGAAGTAACTAATGTTAGAAAGGAACGGCTAGGATTTAATGGGAAGTAATGGTGAGGATGATGCCACATAGATTGAAGGTGGTTATATAATAGTGGTTAGAGGAGAGAGAAGGATAACTAAGTTTTGTAAAAGTCACGTTTCTTTCCTTTCTGCTTCTCACGTTTCATTCCTTTCTGCTTCTCTATTTCTCTTCTATCTTTTTATTTCTCTGTACTTCCTTTTGTTCTCATCCTTCTTCTTCGTTTCTCATTTACAGCTTTTCTATGGAGGTTATGAAGTTCTTAGTTGATAGTTCATTACGTGTAATTGAGACTTCCGATTATCAATAAAGTTGGTTTGGTTTCTGTGATTTTCAATTCAAATTGTAAATTGAATTTGTGATCCTATTAAGGTCATAACAGATTCCTATCTGTAATTTTTGTTACTAATAGTCAAAAACATCAAAAATATCTTCTGGCTGCTCTAACACTTCCTGTTTACATCAAAGTAATAAAGAGCTGAACAATCATCTTAAAATTCTGTAAATTGTTCTGCTTGCCCTCAAAACATCTCTGATTACTTTCTTTCCACATTGTCCACCATATACACGCTGGGACAATCTTTAGTCTCTCTTCCTTTTTCAGTAGCATTGCCCACACTGATCCAGCATTTTAGAACACCCTCTATATTCCAAGGCTTAACCGATGTTATCTTTCTTGAGCTGATAAAGATCCCCCATAGCTGATCTACCCATTTCCAATGTATAAAAAACATGGTTGACTGTGTCTGTTTGTTCCCAACACAAGTAACATCTGGAACGAAGTTGGAACCCCCTTTTCTTCATATTTTCCTGTGTCAGCACTGCTTTCTTGGCCAGCAGCCAAGAAAAATATTTTACCTTATATAAAATTTAACCCTCCATATCATCTTCCATGACCAATTCTCCTCCCTGTTATTTAAGACAATAAGATCTCCATATGCAGAATTGACAGTGAAAATCCCATCGCTGCCTATCTTCCACTGTTGTCTCCTCTTCCCTGTTAAGTTACTGAACGGTGCTATTGTGTTGTTGAAAGCATCTATCCTCTCCATTTCCCAATCATTAAAATTTCTTTTGAGATGCAGATTCCACCCTTAACCTGTACACATTTCATGCACAATTGCCTGTTGTTGAAGGCATAAAATGTGGGTGTCTGGGTCAGTGATACAAAAGGCGAGCGCCTCCTCTCCTTTGGCGAGCGCCTCCTCGCCTTTGGCGAGAGGCGAGGCGAGGCGAGGGGTCCTCGCCATTCTCTGCCGAGGCGAGGCGATGGTAAAAAGGCGAGGTGTGGCGCTGAAATGGCGAGAGAAAAGGCGCCGCCTTATTAATTAAAAAATTTTGACTTAATAATATTAGTCAAAATTAGGGTTCTTTTTTTTTACTTTTGAAATTTCTGAAATCCACCGCGCGACTCTCTCTCTCTCTCTATTGACTCTCTTCTCTTCTCCTCCATCGCTGTCTCTTCTACCTTGCTCTCCATTGCTGTCTGTTCTCCCTCTCTCTCCATCGCTGTTAGCTTCTCCTTCTCTCAAGTTCTCCTTCTCCCTCGCCGGCCGCCGGCTCACGAGTTCCCTCCGACCCTCGCGACTCTCTGTTTTCAGGTATTGTTTTCTCTCTTCTTCTTCAACAATTTTTTTCTATTCTTCTTTTTCTTTTTTTTTTCAGTTAGTGTTTTTTGGTGTAACTTGTAAGGCAGTAAGGTTGTAAGCAGGCACTAAGTGCTTAGTTGCTTACTTCTTTGTGTGAAGTGCAAACATTTTTTTTAAATTATAGGCAGTTAATTAAAAAGAATCTCTCTTTTCCTAATTATTTATTCCAATATTTCTAAACAGCGAATTAATTGAATTGAATAATCAATGGCGGATGCTAGAAAAAAGAGGGACATTGGATGGAATTATGGCACTCAAGGAGCAACGAAAGATTCGGTTAAGTGCTTTTGCAATTTGGATGTATGATGTCAGGCTCCCTTTTTTAATTGCGTCAATCACAAATCATTCGATAAATTTATTGAGGCGGTTGGACAACATGGCCCCGGAATGACGCCTCCTACATTCCATGAAGTTAGAGTCACTCACCTTAAAAAAGAGGTGGATAAAGTAGAAAAAATTGTTGATGAGCATAAAATCCAATGTAAAAGTTTGGATGTTCCATTATGATGGAAAAATGGACGACATGAAATGGCAAAATGATCATCAATATTTTGGTGAATTCTCCAATCGGTAGTGTATTTCTTGGTTCGGTTAATGCTAGCAATGAATCTACTGATTCTACCAAAATGTACAAGTTACTTGAAAGCACTATCGAAAGAATTGGACCGAAAAATGTGGTACAAATTGTCACTGATAATGCTAATGAGAATGTCAAAGCGGGATGTATGATGATGGGTGCGTATCCACACATTTATTGGACTCCATGTGCCGCTCATTGCATCAACTTGATATTTGGTGACATATTCAAGGTTAAGCCATATGCTTCCGGTAATCAACCTATCCTTTAACTTTCTTTATAGTCAATACTCAATAATTCATTAGCTACTAATTAATATAATTTAATATTTTTGTAACAGTTTTAATCTTTCTGTAACAGTTTTTAAGAAGGCCATCAGAATCCATTCTTACATTAGTCAAAGGCCATTGTTGTTAAACTTGATGAGAAAATTCACCAAAGAAAGAAATTTGGTGAAACCGGCCAAGACAAGATTTGTAACGACATTCTTAACTTTAAGAGCTATGTACATACAAAGAAAAAACTTGAAAACTTTAGTCCTCTCAACCGAATGGAATTCAAGTAAATTTGCAAAGGAAACTTCGAGGAAAGAAGTTGCCAATCTTATTATTTCTGTCCACTTTTTGAATGATGTTGTTCGGGCACTTACAGTTTGTAGCCCTTTGACAAAAGTGCTTCGTTTGGTGGATAGGGAGAAAAAACCACCAATGGGTTATATTTATGAAGCAATGGATAGAGCCAAAGAAGCTATTGCACATGGTTTTCGTGGAGTTCAGAAGCATTATGAGAAAGTGTTTCAAATTATTGATGCAAGGTGGTCAGAACAACTCCATCGGCCTTAGCATGCTGCAGGCCATGTTTTGAATCCAGGATTATATTATAAAGCTGAAGAAGAGGGAACTTTATTACAGACTTTGTGGACCAAGTATTCTGCATGTGTTGAATAGTTGGTCCGGGATACAACAATTCAAGATGCACTAATCGCTGAGCTTCCTAAGTACAAAATGGCGGATGGACTATTTGGTTGTGGTCCGACTAAAAGAGCTAGAGACACAAGGTCACCAGGTAAGTGGGTTGATTTAGATCTTACTTAAATTATTTGACTTATTTATAGTCACTAACCTTTAAATTTATTTTATTATAGTTGAATAGTGGTCACTATTTTGTAGTGAAACACCAAACTTGCAAAAGTTTGCCATGAAAGTATTAAACCTAACTTGTAGCTCATCTGGATGTGAGCGAAATTGGAGTGTGTTTGAACACGTAAGTAAAAATTTATATCCTATTTTTCATATTATATTATTATCAATATCAACTAGTTAATATCAATAACTTATGCACTGATTCATTCCAAAAAGAGGAATAGGCTTACACTATCGCGTCTCAATGATCTAGTGTACATTAAGTACAATAGAACATTGAAACATCATTATGATGCTTGTGATCTTATTGATCCAATTCGCTTGGATAACATAGATGATTCAAATGAATGGTTAGTTGGATACCCTGAAGATCAAGATGATGAACTAGTATATGAGGATGATGATCTTAATTGGGGTAGTGTTGCTACGACAATTGGAGCGGACGAGAGTATCTATCATCTTAGGGGACTTTCTTCAAGATCAACAATACTTGACAAGGGCAAAGGAGTAGAAAGTACATCTACAAGTTCATCTTCAAGTAGGGCTAGGACACTAATTGATGAAGAATACGAGGAGGAAGAAGCTGAAGAGCAATATAATGATGTAGAGGATTTTGATCTTCAAGAGTTGGATAAATTTTGAAGAAGAATAGACTTTTAAAGTTTTGGTTTATTGTATTTTGAATTGTTTGGTCTTTAAGGTTTTAGACATTTTAGTATCTACTATTGGTTTTTGAATTGAATATTTGCTAATATGTGTTATTGCTATTAAGATTTTTGGATAAAATATACAATTAAATATTTTTAATTTTGGTATTAATTGGCGCCTTTATTCAAAAAGGCAAGCGCCTCGCCGCTCGCCTCTCCGCGTGGCGAGGCAGGACCTTGTCGCCTTTTGTCGCCTCTCGCCGTCAACAACACTGGTCTGGGTATAACAATTTAAAGGGTCTATGATCTATCTATCCATTTGTCCTCCCAGAATGACACTTCCAAACAATTCCCTACCATAAAACTAATTCTAGATAGAACTAGTGGTCAAAAGTTTCAGAGGGGTTTCCAAATGCATAACCACCATCTTTGCTACCCACGAATCCTCCATTTCATATTTTTCCCTGATAACCTCCTTCTATAGCATATTTTCCCGTTACAAATTTCTATAGCCATTTCAAGATTAGTTTTTTTTATAACCGAAAAATGCGTTTGTGACCCGCCCTTTGGACCAATCATAGCCGTCTAATCCCAACATTCATTCAAAAAAGCCACAGAGAATCCATCATGCCCTGGTGCTTTGTCACCTGCACATGTTTTTATGCTCTCCAGTATTCCTGTTGTCAAAGACTGCCATCAACATAAATTATGTTCCTCTTCTCAAATTATAGGGCAATTCCTTATATAAAGTTGTGGTTTCCAATCTTCTGACTCTGAGTGAAGCTTCTCATAATCTACTATCTCCTCTTGCACCTCTTCTGATCAAGTCAAGATCTCCCCTCTCACTTTCAGCTTGGCAATTGTGTTTATTCTACTTTGTGCATCAGCAGTTCTATGAAAGAAAACAGTGTTTCTTTCCCCTTGCTTTGTTTACACTTCCCTGGACCTCTGCCTCCATGTAGTCTCTGCCCTTTTAGCTATGTTTTCAAACTCCATGTTAAGTGCTAATCTAGAGGTTATTTCTTCTTCCTCTAGTGCTCTGTGATCCTGTATCTCCTCTAAGTCAGCTAGCTGCCTCAAGAAATTTTATTTCTCAACATAATTACAAAAATCAATCCAATATTTTTGAGTACCAAAAAAAAATGTTCCCAAGCACATTTTACGAGGCCTAGGTAGCTACATGCTTTTGTCTAAAATTAGATATTTTTTGGGAGCTTCTTCCGGCATGGGTGTGTGTTTGTGTGGATTTCTTGCAGTACATTTAAACTTATACCCGTAGCCGAGTCGATGGAACATAAATTCATGTTGCTGCTGTTATTTACAGTCAGGTACAACAATTGAAAGATAGTCAGCCTCATATTTTATTTATTCACACCTTTTTGTAATTTTATAGTACTGGATTGTAACGGCAGAAATATAGTTTTGGTGCCAATTATTCTCCATGTGAGAAATATTGGAAAAGAATACTATTGAATTGTTGTCGTGTCTACACTATTACATTGAGACCCTATTTATAGACACTAGAATACAATCCTTTACCAAGTAGGATACTATTTACTGGTCCTATTTCTATATGTATTCATATTTCTATTCTAAATACGGTTGTATAAACCTATTCCTATTCTAATAGGATTATATAAACCTATTCATGTTCTAACACTCCCCCTCAAGCTAGTGCATACAGTTCATGTACCTAGCTTGTTACAAATGTAATTAATGCGAGGACCGATGAGGGGCTTGGTGAGATATCTGCCAGTCTTCACAAAATTGACAGTCAAGTCTTCTCATTAAATATTTGATTTGATGCATAATGTTAGTCAATCTCAATTTGCTTAATCTTCTCACGAAATACTAAATTTGATGCATAATGCCAATAAAACACACAGTGATAAAATTACACAGTAAACTTCCCAAACCAAACTTGCAAAGAGTGTTTCAGACCCCCCCCCCCCCGGGGTCAACACGGTGCTCACAATCTAATATAAAGAGTCTATGAATTGTGTTGGAATCAATAGATGAGTCGATATTAAACAAGTCACCGAAAAATTGGCTGGAACATGCTCATACGTAGGAATATTAGATTTGATGGTTGAAAGTGGTCACAGACTAAGAAATAGAATTATATGGGTAGGGTCTGAATGATGTCATGACCTAACTCGAGAATAGAAATTATATAGGAAAGGCGGATTGATGGCATGATCATATTGAAAAGAGAAATAATATGGGTAGGTCGGAATGATGACATGATCCTATTAATTTTTTTTATATGGGTAGGGTCGGAATGATGGCACAATCTTGCACAAATTTGATTTGAGGAATCACTGGAAAGATGAATGGAACTACGTAAATCAAATCTGAGGAGTCACTGAAAAGGCACACGGTGCTATGCAACTAAGATATGAGAAAGTAGTTCAGAAAAATCCATGGTACTACACAAATTAAATATGAAAAGTAGTTCGGAGAGATGCACACTGCTATGCAAATGAGATATGCAAAAAAAGGTAGTCACCAGAAGGATGGAACAGTGCTACACGAATTACATATGAAAAAGTAGTCACTGAAATGATGGCACAGTGCTACACAAATTAAATATGAAACAACAGTCACCTGAAAGATTGCATGGTGCTACAAGTTATATATAAGAAAGTAGTAACATGAATTATGGCACGATGCTTACATAAATCAAATAGGAGAAAAAAGTCACCGAAAAGATACACAACAACTTTTACTTACATAATTGTTGGGCAGACGGGAGGCATATATGAGTAATAGCCTCCTGTAGACAACGGAAACTCTTTGATTTTCTACCAAAATTATAGAAGCTCTGATACCATGTGAAAAATATAGGAAAAGAATATGATTGAATTGTTGTCGTGTCTACATTATTCCATTGCGACCCTATTTGTAGACACTAGAATACAATCCTTTACCAAGTAGGATATTGTTTACTATTTCTATTTGTATTCTTATTCCTATTCCTATTCTGAATAGGATTGTATAAATCTATTCTTATTCTAATAGGATTGTATAAACCTATTCATGTTCTAACAGTCCTAACCCCTTACTGGCTTATTATTTCATCATGTGCTTGCAACTTAATGATGTGCTGAAAGTTAAAAGCTTCTCTTTCTTTTCTTTTTTTTAATCCTTTATTTCTATTGGCGACGTTTCTTCTGTTTGTGCATTGAGTGAAGAACTTGGAAGCATAAAGCTCCTTATAAAATTTTATTTCATCGAGCCTTTGGCAATTGATTTAGAGGTTTATTAAGGAGAGTGCCTTACAGGTGCATGCTGAAACAAACGCGAAACAACTGATGGTGTTGGAGACTGAATTATTTGAACAAAAGGGAAGTGTGGTGTTGCAGAGACTTCTGGTGGGTTTACTTAAAATTCAGATGTCATGTTTAAATAGTTGCTTTCAACAACTGTGATAGCATATCATTACCAATTTTCGTAGCGGCCCCCCAGATATTTTAACTTCAAAGGGAGCATATGGAAAGCATTTCAAATATGTGGTGAAGAAAATCATAGTGCAGCAGGTTGTAGTCCTCTTGAAAAGAAGAAACGTCGATGCTTTATCTGCGGTCATTATCGGCATAATGGAAAATATTGCAAGAAGGTCTGGTTACAATTGTTTCACCAGTTTCACCATCGTACTAAGTTGCTTCACAATTTTATGATATATATTATTTACCATTCTCGACCAAAAACTTCAATGTGAGTTATGTCGACACTTGGAACATACTTTTCCCTGAGTTTCCTTTTAGTTATTTCTCCCGTCCTACTCGTGGTATGTGGACGTGAGTTTCCACCTATTTTAAATTGTTATGATCGATTTGGTGCAGCTCTGATATGTATTTGAATGTTTCAAATGATATATCCACATCTATATTCTACCCATTGGACATGTATATGTCTAGGGGATGAACAGCTGGGTTAATACTTAACATAGGACTTGGTTTCTCTTTGCACCGTTGAAGAGGTATCATTTATCTAATTGATATTTTACAGAAGTAAGTTTTCTTTTACTGGTACCTTAAAGAAGTAACTTAGAGTAAAAAACCTTTACAATAGTGTCTAACTGTGGTGGGAAAATACAAAATGATATGTTAAAACCTTTCCAATTATATAGTCCTCTCTCTCTCAAGTTGGTTATATTGAGTTCTCCTTGCGCTCTTTCTTGTCCGTCTTTTATTTTGTGGTTTCTACAATGATGTTAAATGTGATTTCCATCTATTGACTAAGTTTAACATTCATTTGATTTCGTTCTCTCATCTTTCATGTTAGATGTTTTAAATTTTGACTTATCTTTTTCCATGTTTTTAAAAGCTTTGGAACACTGGCGTTCTTCAAAGTACTAGCTAGTTAAGCATCTGACCATTAGGGTTTATCATCTGTGATCACATCTTATTTAGTACAGCGGAGATACTTATGACCAATAGTTGGAGGTGTTTGTGGTAGTTTATGCATGTGCAGTCTCATGCTAAAATTTGGGGTATGCTGAGATTGTGCATGTTCACCGTTCAACCTATGATTGGTTATTCTTCTAAATCATTCAATCTTCTCTAAGTTTATCAAGGTTAATACAAATGAGAAGAAGAAAAAGAACAAGAAATAGAAGAAGATAAGTCTTTCAGCCAGAAACCTTCGTAACTGTGTCTTTTCTCCAATCACCCCTTGCTTGCTTAAGATAATGGACAACAAGATCTATTTTAGAGCTGAGTAGAAGTCATACAATATCACAAATATGTTACTCCTTTAGAAACATGGTTTGACTGGATGGAATCGAGGAACAACGTGCTTCGAAGCATGACAATCAGCTGGAAAGTCAGATCTTGGATCTGTTATTTACTGTATCAGGCCTCAGAAGTTAAAGGAAAGGAAGTCGGAAGGTGGAAGCTTAGGGACCACAATGCCATTTACTTTGCGTAAATAAATTTAATGTCTTTGGCAGATTTATCTCCATAGTAGCAGTTTGGAAAAACCGCAGTTCATTCTGGTGAAGGCAACATCATCATAAGCCACCGGAGCAGCAGAAATCTACAACAAAGATATCCTGAGAAGATGGGTGGGGCATTTCGACAGGGAAAAGATCCGAAATCAGACTGTTGTTTGCAGGTGGGCACATGCCAATGGGGAAGTTCTGTCGGAGTTTTTGAGCTTTCAGACCATCAATTTCTCTTTGATTTTCCAACAAGGATATTGGCAGAATACACTATGATCTGTGATTGGAGGTGGGACCAAAAGAAGCTGCACTTATCTTGGTGTTCTCCCTCACCCGATTGTGTTCCAAAGATGCACCAGTATTCCAGCACTTGGATATGAGTGTTGGGTTTTCCTTTAAACCTGTGGACCAAAGAAATGATGAATGAGATCGACAACAAATGCAGAGACTGGATTTAGAATAAAGAGGAGACCGAGGAGAGGAAAATCACCATTTTTTGGGGAAAGACCTGGGTCTAGGGTACATGATGAGTCAGAAGACCTAGATTTAAGTAGGGAGGTTTTCAAATTCAAAAATTTAACATGTGAGTGGAGCACGTGGGGATAAAGATTAATATGAGAGCATGCATGCAATGATTCTAGGGGGCAATGATTACAATGTGCAACAGTAAGAAGTCACCATTGAAGGTGAGAGAACAGAACACAGAACCTGAAGTTACATTTTGGGTCCACCAGAATGTCTTAAAAATGAATAAGAAATTTGGTGCTCACTGTCAAGGGTGTGAATGGATGTTCATCTCTTTTTACGAAAATTGACAAAAGGAGACATAGGACCAAGGGTGAAGTCAACAGTTCAAACATCAAGACTACACTCACAGGGAATCAGAGGAGGGTCAGGGATCGATAAGTAATATTAGATACAAGGATGGTGAACAAAGAACCAGGGGAAGGCTTTTAAAAATGGGTGATCAATGAAGCTAAAAATTCTATCCTGGAATGTGAGGCGACTAAACAGTGAGAACAAAAGGGAGGTAATGAAGCTGCTGTTATTAAAATGGTAGGCAGAGGTGGTTATTTTACAATAAACAAAGCTAGAAGGGGATGTCATTAGTGTCTTCAGTCAAATATGGGAAAGTAGATGGGTAGATTTTGTTTACAGGAAGCAACTGGAACTAATAGGGGGGATAGTGATTATGTGGGAATTGGGATAAAATGAAGTTACAAGCGGGAGCTAGTCAACACTAGTGCTTACTCCAGTACTAGTTAGTTGACAGATTTAAGCAACAATATCTCTTGGTACATATCAGGAGTATATGGCCCTCATAACAGGTTGGAGAGGAGAGACCTCCCTGGGGGAGTTTGTTGCTGCTAGGGGTATTTGTGAGGGTCCCTGGGTGGTGTGTGGAGATTTCAACACCACAAGGTTCAAACAATCCTATTTTCACCAGAGCTATGAATGGTTTCTCTGACTACATCCAGGATAAGGCTAATTGATCCACTTCTCTTTGATAGATCTCTCACCTGGAACAGAGGGAAGTAATCAAAGGAAAACCTCAAGGATAGACAGGTTTCTATTCTCTACAGAATAGGATGAGACTTTCATGCTAATCAGGCAATCCACTTTGCCCAGGACTCACTGATCATTCACCCTTCATTCTACAGTTTGTAGTTTGGAACCATAGTAAATCCTATTTCAAATTCGAGATTGATGGCTCTAGACAACAATGTTCAAGGAGTGATTAGGGAATGGTGGAATTTTTTGAGTATTAGGCAGACCTAACTTCATACTAGCCACACAACTGAAATTTCTGAAAGGAAAGCTCAAGGAATGGAATGCTACCAGTCGTGGGAGCCTTAGAAAGAAGGAGAAATAATATCTCAGGAAAGGTAGCACAAATGGACTTGATCATGGAGCAAACAAGCCTCATTGATTATGAACTAACTCAGAGAGGTCATCTTGACCTAGTGTTGTAAGAATGTAAAATAGTAAATAAAACTGTGTTCTCTCTAACAACCTAAGTCGTAACTTCAGGTTTCAGATGAGATGGTCTCACACTTCAACATCTGAAGTTGAAGAGAAACCAAAAAGCACTCAACTTGATTGTCCTCTAGCTATTGGGATTTTAATTACTATGTTTATATGACCTAAAAGGAAAGGAAATAAATACCTAGTTACAATTGGAGTACATTAAGCTACCTACTACATTTACATATATTCTAGAGTATTCAGAAGGATTTTAATACTCCCCCTCAAGTTGTGTACCATGTTTGGTACATATATAATTTGTTTTGGGATCGATTTGGTACCTGATGAATATGTAGGCAAGTTGATAATTTGACTGCACAAACTTTGTGACAATGTCTCAGGACTGAAAGAATGACAATTTATCATTATGTGTGTGGTCCTCTTGTCAAACACTAGATTTGATGCAATGTGAAGTGCAATCTCATTACACACAAGTTTCATTTCTTTTATCTCTTCAAATTTCACCCTCCGGAAGTTGCTAGATCCATATGACTTTACATGTGACCATTGCCATAGCTCGTATTCTTCTTGTGCACTCGATCTAACAACCACATTTTGTTTCTTAATTTTCCAATACACCTTAAATTTCCCCCCAACTTGAACACGCTATCCAAAAGTGGATCATTTCTAGGAGGGTCCTCCAGCTGCATCTGTATATCCAACAATTTTTCATCTTCTCGTTCTTCGTAAAGTAGTCCTTTCCTCGGAGTAGATTTTATGTATATGAGAATGTGAATGACGACATTCCAGTGACGGTCATAAGGAGATTCAAGAACTGACTTACAACACTAACCTGGAAGGCAATCTCAGGTTGAGTCTTAATGAGATAATTCAGTTTTCTACCAGGTTCCTATATCTTTTGGGATCACTAAAATGCTTCCCCTAACCTGTTAGTTGCTTAATATTTGGATCTATTGGAGTACTAATAGGCCTACAATCTATCATCCTACCACCTCAAGAATATCAACTATGTTTGTCATTTGTGAACGACATGATTTGGATTGAGCAACCTCAATGCCCAAGAAGTATATTAGTCGAGCAAGATCCTTAGTATGGCAGTGCTAAGAAGGTAATGTTTTGACTTTGTAATTCCTTCGTCATTATTACCTGTGATATGGTGTCATTAACGTAAACTCCTAAGTACATGCACTAACATTCTTACCAGTTTCCAAAAAAAAAGTATATACACAAACCTAGAGAAGAGAGGATAAAATATAGAATGATTTGCTTCACTTAGAACCATGCCGAATTCCTGAATCACAATGCTATAAGTTTTCCAAACCATTCTCGAGGAAATCGCTTGATAATAATTAGGTTACTTGAATAGAAACAAGAAAATATTGCAGAAACAAAAATAATAAGATTAAAGATATGTGAAATTCAAGAATAAAATTCCCAAATTTCAAAATTATGTGCTAAGAACCCTAATCAATCTTAGTATTAAAAAATTAGCAGATTAAAGCTAATTATGATATTAATAGAGTCAAAGGGAAGAACTTAGATAATAAACTGATCTAGATCCCTATTTGAAGAAATTAGAGATTATAATTACTATAAGACTAATTACCTTCTTTAATATACAAAAAAGAGTCAAAACATCAAGTTAAAGAATTACTCTTACTTCTAGAAGAATCGTTCTTATAAAGTTGTTAAGATATATCCCGAGTAGCCAACACCCAAAGGTAAAGAAAAGAAACTCTTAAATCATCATATCGTATCATCATATCATCATATATTACTAAAAGTGGGAAGCTCCAAAGTGCAAAGTTGGATTACCATTTTATCCTACATTCAATCATAATACTATAAAATATTTAATTTATTAAATATAAAGTATTTAATGATATTATGTTATGCTAAATACTAAAGGTGAGAAGGTGTATTAATATAATTCATTCTTTTGAAAGACAATGCATTAATTTTCTTAGTTACTCTCAAAATGTTAAGAATTTGAAAGGTTACTTTGAATGGTTCAATAATATGGACTAGATTCAAATGCAGGCATACTGTATTCTTTCAAAATCTATGCATTGATTTCCTTAATTAATTTGAAAAAATGGATAAGTAATTTGAAAAGTTACCTTTCATGTATAATTATATAACAGATTCATATGCTGCAGTATAAAATGAATTTGAACAGTCATTTCCTAAAGTTATTTAGAAGCTAACGCAATGTAATGAAGTCATAGAGATTTAAAAGTTTCCTGACACAATAATTTTATGGGCTACACAAAGACCCTGATCAGAAAATGGATTTATTCACTTGTATTTATTGTTATTACAAAGCACAATCTTATCGAAATGATATGAGATGAAGTTGAAAGGATCATTCTTGACCCATTTGTTTTATCGGGGGAATCAGGTAAGGCCGAGAGGGTTCATTCAAACCCTTTTCGATGGAAAATTACACTATTTATACATATGGTTTAAATAGTTTTTTATGCATATTAGTAGATGTTGCGCCTTTGTGTGTTTAGTTCTTCATATTTTGAATCCCTTTTGGTGTAAATCTTAGTTCTACCGCTGTTTTATTGAATATGTTTTTCTCACTGTTGAATCTATTATTAATGTCTTAAAATCATATTTTTTGTGTGTTCAACTTTGTACTAAATGACTCATGGTTGATGTTGACTATTTGTTGCAATTTAGTGATTTTTTACACATAGATTTATGCTCAATATTGGAAGTGTTGGAAACCATAACAATGAATCAGCTCTTGCTTGGATACAAGTGCAACACAAGTACCTAGAGACTAGTGATATTAATAATCATGTTCATTGTAAAATAACAAAATCTACCCTTATCCCAAATAGCATGTACTCCACATCCTTGTTTTATGGAAATAACAACTAATAAAAACCTAACTAGGAAAACAAGTAAAATATAATGTCACGCTTCCCCAAAACTAGCTAAAAGAAAAGGTAATTGTCAAATTCTTGCTAACACACCAATTTTGTGACTTTTCAACTGCTTTTTTTAGTCTTGAGAAGTAGCCATTATGGTCATTAATTGCAGCCCTTTGGAGGCTTGATTCTCACATGTAACAAACCTTCTTGGGCCCCTCCTCTTGGTCTCCATGTGGCCCCAATCTTACTCCTATTTGACTTGGACTTAAAGTATGAAATACGTGTAGCACTTAGCCCACTCCTTGGCATAATTCTTGGGCTCATTATTGGGTACTTGATCTACAAAAAGCATCTTGTCGGCTCATTCCTGGCCTCTCCTTCAATGATAAGCATCTTCTTGATTTCCCAAGCCTCATATCCAAGCCCTTTACTGGAGGTATGCCACCATGAATGCTATCATTCTCCTCTTACTGAAAAAAATTCGTTCTCGAATTTAAACCTCGCAAAATCAAGAACACATGCACTAGTAAACAACATTCATTAATCATAACCAATAATGGTAGGAACGAAATAAGGTGGTGACCATGTGTTCACTTAACCCAATTAATGCTAGCATGTATAAATAAACCTTTCTCAAGCATGTGGATGACATCATCCCAATATTAAATTTTCTACTTATATAAACACAATATATTGTCGTCTAGATGCCATAGGAAATGATACATGCAACCCTAATTTACTTCTATCAATATAGTATCCCAATGCGCATAGCAACAGTGACACAAACTCCCTAAAATATGTATAAAATTAAACATTTCTATGATATAATCAAGGATACTCAAGTACGTACACCTCCCACAAATTCTTCCACATAAAAGCTATTCACATAAGCACTAGAGCGTTCAAGAAACTTACAAGAACCTTTAAATTCCAAAAAGAGATCTCCACTAAATTCAAGTTCATTGTCATATTAGAACTCAATCGATACTAGAATACGAGAAGAAGAAATATCCAAACCATAGATTTCATGCATGTATTTGGTTTGTACATATGATATATGCATGTTTTGCAACATTATCATATAAAAAGGAATTCTTAAAATATAAAGAAAGAAAAAAATATCTCTTTTCTTAGTCTTAGCTCCTTTCTAGTGTTAGGTTAAATAGCAAATCATGAACTCGTGCTTGTTCCACAAATCAAAGCAATCTGCGTGATAGGCAACATTTTCCTCATTCATTTGCTTCATCTTCCTCCTTACCATTCTTTTTTGAGGCCTTACTTTTCTTACATATATTATGCTATCTCCCTTTTCTATTCTTTTACTTTTCTTTGAGGGGGAGGGGTAACAAGGGACAAATATTCATACAAAATCATATTTTTCATTTCCAGGTCACTGCTTGCTTCATTTGCAAGAGAAGAGGTCATTTAGCCAAAGATTGTCTGAATGCTAAAACACAGATTCTACAAGCCCAATCTTGTGAATTTTGTTTAAAATGCGGTGACAAGGGACATGATATGTTCACTTGTAAAGATGGTTATTCCTCTACTGATCTTGAGGTACGTGAGGTTTATCAACTTAATTCTGGTATTGGCATAAATCCTTGTCTGGTAAACAATTATCGTAGTTTATACGTGCTATGTTGTCTATTGAGTCATTACTTCAGGAAACTGTTCTTTCAAGACTTCTAAAACAAATAATATTCACTCCACACTCCCTAATTCAGTGACGACAATCTATGAGCTCTTACTTAGACTATTATATTAATGTTTGATTTGCACAGTGTTAATAAGAAAATCCTCTTAGTGTTCTAAGAAAATCCGTATTATTATGTATTCTGTAATTTTATGTTTTTATTTTTGAATTGAAACAACATTACTATCAGTTATTATGGATATTATTTTTGCATAACATGGTGTTTGGGCCAAGTTGCAAGCGTCTTTACTATTCCATCAGGTATTTAGAACCTCTCACCAGCACAGGCACCCTGGAACTTTAAAAGCCAAGGATTAGGCTGATCATAATTTTATTCTCCACAGATAAGAACTCCCCAAGCTATGTCCCTCCCACATACGGGCAACAGTCGGGTCATAACTAGAGTCTCGACACAACCTATTACCACACTAAGAATAAACCAGATCCAAAATATGAACCATGAAACACAATAGCTATTAAACCTATTACAAAAATACTGGTCAGATCACCAATTATCAAAAGTGAAAACTGTCCTGTAAAATTAGCCATTTACCGATCTGTCTCTACATTTCATCAAGTGGTCAAGTCAGAGAGGAAAGAAATCATAAATATTAAATTACAAGTCATGCTACCCCAGGCAACACATAGCTTAGTGTAGCACTTGGGTTCTAGTTTTCGTTGATGAGTGCCCATCATGCTTAGAGAAGAGTTTAATCCATGCTCAGAAGGAACACGGAAGGAAATCATTTTTTGTGTGCCTCTATTGGGATTTGATCCCCCGATCTCATACGACTAGTTTTGACGCACGTGCATTGCATGTGAATATCAGACCATGTATCACACTATTTTTAAAAATTATGTGAAGATTATTAAAAAAAAGTCACTCTTAAAATCTCTTAGTTAGACCTCTTAAATATACTTTTTCCTCCATTCTCTATATTGCATTACTTTGTTATTGTTGTCTTGTCAGTGTTATTACTTTTACTATAATATTTTATGATATAAATAATTACTATTATAAAATATACTACATTTGATGTTTTTAATTTGAGTATTAGATTACTTTAACAACTATGTTAGTGAGTGTTCTAATTTTACCGACCTTTGAGATTGTCAACGTCTATAAATCAATCTTGAAATTTTTAGAAAAGAAGAATAGAAAATGTCAAAAAAGCATAGTATAAAAATGTAAGAAAATCCCTCCATTTATAGTAAAAATGTGTAGTATTAGTATGTGCATATTGTTCCTTACAAAAATATAGAAGATATACTAAATTGGGTTCTTTAAGAAGAAGAAGAATAATGAATATATTTTTAAAAAGATGTAGTTTAAAAATTTGAGGACGCCCCTTTTTGATAGCCAACAAAGGCTAGTGTATGAAAACTGTTTATTGTGCCTTATAAAAAAAATCACAACCCTGTAGAAAACTCACAACCCATCAGAAAAGTCACAACTCATCGGAAAAATCATGGTCCTTGGAAAAAGTCACAACTCTTTCAAAAAGTCGAAACCCTATAGAAAAGTCACAACCCTTAAAAAAGGTAACAACTCATCGAAAAATTTGTAAGTCTTTGAAAATGTCACAACCCTTCAATGCGAAAAAGTTCAAATATAATATAATATAAAATATAGAAGATATACAACATTTGGCATTTTAAGTTGGGTAGTGTAGATGGATAAAAATAGATATAGACTGGTTTAATTTTAATTTGATATGAAGTTTTCAAAAAGTAAAGAAGACTTTTAGCTGGATCATATGTAGAATATATAAAAATATCTTTTAACTGTGTGTCTTAAAGATGCGTCCCCACCCCAAGTAAAAGAACGTTCTATGTTAAACTGAATTAAAATAAAGTACACTAAATAAATTGAAAACGAAAGAGTACTTATAAAATGTAGTTGGACTATTCAAATAAGTTTTTGATCAAATACTTTTTCTCCAACACTTTAGGACTTTTCAGATGTTGAACACCAAGTTGTAGTTTGTGCAACGGAAAATCATTGAACTTCTTGTCAAGTAAAAGTTGCTACAAAAGTATATTCTATGACTATGAAAATGAGTATATATTAATTATCAAGATACTCTTCATGTTTGAAATTGTGTTATTTCATTCTCCTTGTTGCATCAATTTTTGTTCATTTATCTAATTTATCCACAAAAAATATTGTAATTGCATAATTGAACAACTCTCACAATCTTCCTTGTTTTAAGAAGAAGAAAAAAATACTTACAAAATTCGTAAATTTAAAAGTGTGATAAACACCATCTATTTAAAGACAACAAAGGATAGTAGAAAAAAGTTCTTATTGTGTCTTTTTAGATAAGTCATAACCCTTCATAAAAATCACAACTTTTTAGAAATGTCATAACTCATCAAAAACTCACAACTCTATAAAAAAGTTACAACCCTTCGGAAAAGTCATTACCCATCAATCTGAAAAGGTGTATGCTATATATATATATAGTGTTTAAGTTGGGGGTATTTTAGTAATTTAACATTCTAGTGAGGGAATAATGCTTTTAAGGTAGTATAGACAGATACAGATTTTTAGTTCATCTTTATTGGTTTTTTGGGAATACCTTTGGGTGAAACATTCTAGTTAGTTATCTCGATTACATTCTTTCTGAAAGTAGTAAATTGTAAACAATGTTCACTTTAAACTAATGGTGATCTGATGGTCTGATGTGGATAGAAAATTCAATGCGGGGTTTGCAAAGCTTTTGGCCATCTTTCATGCGTGGATTACAAAGATTATGGACCAAAACAAGTATCTTGCTACAACTGTGGGATGCTTTGTCATTTAAGTTCAGTAAGTCATATCTGCCACTTTCTACAATTTCTATTAGCAATCTTCACATCATATTGATCTGTAATTTAATTTATTATGTTTGTGTAAGGATTGCTTAAATTTACGTCGGAACATTCAGTTAGCTTCTCCTAGCTGCAAGAAAGGCGGGACAGGTCCCTCCTGCAGTGAAGGCAATAATTCAGCAGATCATACATTGCAAGACGAAAAGAAAGGAGATAAATATCTTTTATGTGAAAGACAAAGAATCTGCAAAGGTATGGCTCAGTAGATCTAGAAGCTATTGAATTTGTTTGCAATCAGGGGGTCCCGCCTCTCGTTCTCTTTGTGGATGTATTTTTTTGAACCATTTCCAGAAGTAGGAGAGGTCTTTGCTATGTGCTATTTTCTTGCAAATATATATTTGCTTTCTATATGAATTTGTTTCGTTCTTCTTAAGTAGGATCACATTGATTGTTCTAGACTTAGTCATGCTTCATCAAAATTTTGTAGCCTCAGAAATCATGGTTCAAAAGTTATGAACACAAATGACCTCACAGAGGACACCTTCAAGAAAAATTGTACGAATGGATCAATGTTAAGTGATGACTGTATGTTACTGTAAAGGCTGCAGTCTGTACATATTTTGGAATCTTGAAGAAAAATTGTGAGAAATATAAGAAAAGAATATTATTGAATTGTTGTAGATGAGAAATAAAGGAAAAGAACATTATTGAAATGCTGTTTTTTATACATTATTACATTGAGACCCTATTTATAGACAATAGAATACAATTCTTTACCAAGTAGGATACTATTTACTATTCCTATTTCTATTGCTATTCCTATTCTATTCTAAATAGGATTGTATAAAAGTATTCCTATTCTACTAGAATTGTATAAAACTATTTCTATTCTAATAGGATTGTATAAACCTATTCATATTCTAACACCCCCCTCAAGATAATGCGTACAATTCATGTACCTAGCTTGTTACAAATGCATAATGTCAGTCAATCTCAATGTGCTTAATCTTCACATGAAATACTGAATTTGATGCATAATGTTGGTGTTGAACTTCCCAAACCAAGCTTGAGAAAAATTGTTCTAGACTATAGAGTGATCTGCACAATAGTACAAGACTACTAAATTCCCTCTGAGCAACGAAGTTCTCAAATCTAGTATAAAGTAAATGGATCGTGTTGGAATCAATCGATAAGTTGATATTAAATAAGAAAGTCACCGAAAAGTTGATCGGAACGTGCTCATATACTGGATATTACATTTGATGGCAAAAATTGGTCACAATCTAAGAAATAAAATTATATGGGTAAGGTCGGAATGATGTCAGGACCCAACTATAAAATAGAAATTATATATGATAGTTAGAATTCATGGGACAACCCCATTGAAAAAGAGAAATAATATGGGTAGGTTTTGAATAATGGCATAACTCTACACAAATCAGATTTGAGGAGTCACCGCGAAGACGAATGGAACTATGCAAATCAAATCTGAGTCACTAAAAAAACACATGATGCTATGCAACTCAAATATGAGAAAATAGTTCGGAAAAATTCACGGTACTACACAAATTAAATATGAAAAGTAGTCCGGAGATGCACGGTGCTACCTCATCAAATATGCAAAAAAAGGTAGTCACTGGAAGAATGTCACAGTGCAACACAAATTATATATGAAAAAGTAGTCACGGGAATGATGGCACAATGCTACACAATTAAATATGAAAAAGTAGTCACCGGAAATGATGTCACGATGCTACAAAAATTAAATATGAAAAAGTAGTCACCGGAATATGATGGCACGGTGCTATACGAATTAGATAGGAGAAAGTGGTCACCAGAATGATGACACGGTGCTACACAAATTAGATATGAGAAAATGGTCACCACGAAGATACGCAGTGACCCAACTTTTGCTAACATAATCATTAGCCGAACGGGCAGCATATATGGATATAGCTGCCCGCCGGCAGCGGAAGCTCTTTGATTGTTTACCAAGATTGTAGAGGCTCTGATACGAGGTGAGAAATATAAGAAAAAAATATTATTGATTTGTTGCTTTTTTCTACATTATTACCAAGTAGGATGCTATTTACTAACTTGTTTCTATTTCTATTCCTATTCTATTCTAAGTAGGATTGTATAACCTTATTCTTATTTTATTAGGATTGTATAAACCTATTCATATTTTAATAAAAATTATAGACAGTTATAACAAATATAAACATATTATTGAAGGGAGATAGTTGTATTAGAGATTTAAGATGTAGTCCAATAAAATATGTTGTTCCTCCACTCCATTAAATTGACCTGGATTAAATTGTATAGATTTAGGAGTAAAATCAAAAGGACTGTTGTATTGACTTTTGATAAAAGAACATTTAGAGTGGATTGAGATGTAAATGAATGGATTAGAAAGTGAAAATAAATAGCATTAAGATTGAACTAATGTAATCTGGTATTTGTTGTAGTATTTTGAATTGTTGGAAGGATAAAAGTTTGGCATTTTAACCCTTCTTTCTGCTCTTCCAGGTCCAGGATCTTCTTCAGCAAATGGTGAATCTGCGTTTTCTACAACCTCTGATACTATTTCTAACCTCTATTCTACAAGTGATGTTAATGCTTACGTTGGCAACTTTCAAGAATGACAGGTTGGTATTTGAGTAAATCATATAAGATAGGCGTTTTATTTTGTTTAGATTATCTTGTGATCTTCAAGTCAATAATATGATTCAATGTAACTACTAAGAGTAAGCAATATTGTCCTGTTTTTAATAAGAAAGGAAATTATGGTATGCTGAGACTGGTTACTGTTGATTCTGGCACAGCTCTGATGAAGTCATTCAGTAATTTCAGCCTAGTCTCTGGTGATGTTAGGGATGACGGGGTAGCTATTAATTGGGTATTAATACATATTTACCGTAAATTAATACATTGTAGCAGAGAATGAGAGAATAGGATTTCAACACGTGCGATGTGGCAGCATGACCAACACCTGCTTCTGGGAGGCAATTGTGAACTGGAAAGGCTAACTGCTAGTATCATTTTTAGTCTCAGAAGGGAAATACAGAGGAGAAATCCGTTCTTGAAACATGTTTGGTAGTAAGAATTTATCTTCTGCTGCAGGTGACAATAGCTGCCTGTAAAAGGTCCAGACTGCGGGGGTCTAAGTTTCTCTCTCGGTATAGTTAACCAATAGGCAGAACTGCAGAGTATACTTGTGTATATATGAATGTGAATCATGATGCATTTTTTGGGAGGAACTGTACTCTCATTTCCTTATTCAATTTGGCCCGAGTATCAATCCTTGGTCGACCGACACTTTCATCATCCAAATTCCAGGACCGCCACCAAAGTTGAGCATCACTGGACAAATACATAGAAGCAATGTTGAACTTGTCGTCTCCACAATTTGGCTTGTTTTGAAATATTGTTCCACGTCCCAAATGAAGTTCTCCAGTTCCTTGGCACTTCTCGTATTACTGGAAGACCTAGTTTCAGGGAACTTTAGTTTAGAGACATCCCCGCCTGTTGGTTTAGATGCAGCAACGGTCATTCCCAACACCTTCACCTCTGCGTGAAGGTTGCTGTCTTCCTTCAAGCAGTCTGTTGATCGGTAGTGCTGCTGCTTTACGAAAATTAAGACCTTCTAGCAGTTGGTCTTCAAATCAACACGATATTGATTCAACTATGTCGGAAATGCCTTAAATTCCATCCTCAAGCCATTAATTTGGGAGAATAGATCCAAAAATGTAGGATCAGTCCCATGCGCATCCCTTATACCAACAAATGCCTCTATATTGCTCACCAATTCTTGTAGTTCTGTGTTCGTCACCTTCTCGTACATCTGCTGCTCTAATACCAATTGATACGGGCTCAATTTTTTCGTCTAACACCACTGCACAACAACCTGCAACGCTCGCAAACTTCATCAATACACTCGAATCTGTCTAACACTTAGAGTTTTCTTTTACTTTTAGGCAACATACTATATTGAGGAACAATCAGACATTTACAGGACGAATCCCAACCTTCATTAATATGTATTCAGCAAAGGAAAGGCTTCATGAATTTGACTAAGGGACAGAACACTCTCCTGCTTGCTTTGGCCGAATTTCCACCCCATTTTAAATCTATAGATGGCGGTTGACGACAGTTCCAAAACTGCCAAGCGTCTAACACATGTCAGGGCCAAATCTGTCCAAATAAAACTAACTCTAACAGGTCCTGACAATACGAATTCAAATAAATACAATACATGAACCTAGCACATATTATTTATTTGCCTTAGCCGAATTGCATCTGCCCATACTTATTTCAGCTGTCTCCCAGCCTTGGTTTTATTTTTCAATTCTGCCAACTTGTGCCAACACTGATCAAGCTTTGTCTTGCCATTGTCAAGTCTACACGGTCTTACCTTGTCAAGCCCACATGCTGTCCTGCCTTGCCTTCATCAAGTTCCCCCAGCCTTGTCTTGCCAAGTCAGCACGCTGCCTTGCGTTGTCTTGCCGATACCACTGTTTGCATGTATGCCCCTAAGGTGCCATACGCCTGTCATTGTCATCGTGCCCAAGTCTGCGTAGCCAACACTCTAGCATCCTTTGTCCTAAGTCTGCCTTCCCATACTCCAGCATACTTAGTCTTTTAATTCAAGCTGCTTAGCCAACACTTCAATACTTCGTCGGACACCCGCATTGTTTTCCCACGCCCGTGCCAAATCCAATGCCAAGTCCTTGCCATGTACACCGACGTCGCATAGCTAGTCTAGGGTTCTAACAACCTCCCACTAGCTGCAGGTAGCAGGTAACCCTTTCCACCAAGTCTTGGACAGATTGGATGCTTTTTATTTTTTTTAAATTCTTCATTCTAACAAGTTATTTCCTGTAAGTATGGTATCATCAAAGTGCACTTGTATATCAGTGAGATCATAGGGGATGGAGTTTAGTTCTTATGAGTGTGCTTAGTCTTTTTTTATTTTCCAATTTCTCCTCGAGTAAACCTGTAATTCCTTTGTATGTTCCATGTACTTGTCATTAATTGAGTCATGAAAAGGTTCTATTGTCTCATTTTTTCATTTAAATTATTTTACTCATTATCTCGTACCTTATCTAGGTTTTGATTACCAAAAGTACTATTTCTATCATGAAACCTAGAACATTTTGATTCTCACATATTAGGTCAATAGGATCCTCATAATCACTGGAATCTATGTTACATTTCTCCCCCCTGAAGATGAGTTCCAAAAAGCAGTTGATATTTTTAAAAGGTGACATCCATTATGATAATAATCTGCCTAGCATTTGGTTCATAAGACTTGAATCCCTTTTGACTGGGAGCATAGCCAACAAAAATACATTTCTTAGCATGTAAAATCAAGTTTATTCCAACTAGGTTCCACGGACATGAAAAAGTATACTACACCCAAAGATTCTGAAAAATAGATCAATGGTCAACCTAGAAGTAGGAAAGTATGTCATGACATCATGAAATGGGTTTTAAAACCTAAAACATAGGAACACATGCTATTACTAAGATAGGTAGTTGTCAAAAGAGCTTCTCGCCAAAGAAATTTAGGAATTCCACTTGTGAATATTAAGGTTCTAGTTACTTCCATAAGATGCCTATTTTTCCTCAGTACTTAAATCCATTTTGTTGGGATGTATCATGATAAGAACTTTGGTGCACTATTCCTTGGAAGTGAAAAAATTGCCTAGTTGGTCAATAAAAAGCTCTCCCATTCTCACTCCGAAATACTTGAATCTTTTCATGAAATTTTATCTCAACTTAAATAGAAGCCTCCAACGTATGTTTTTATTTCCCTTTGTCTTTCAGTTGATACACCCAACTAAGTTTAGTGTGATAATATATGAAATTCAAAAAACATCTTTTTCCATTTACAGTTGCTACCCTAGAAGTCCCCTAAACATCACTATGGATTAACTTAAAGGTTTTTGTGGGCATGATATTTTTGAGAAGAAAAGAATGGAAGGCGATGTTAAGCCATTTCACAAAAATTAAATTGGAAAGAAACAAACTTTTATCAGTAAAGTAAAGAGGTGATAAGAGTCTGAAATAATGAAAAATAGGATGTACACGTCTATTGTGCCATAACACAAGTTTGTTATCAACTAGAACAAAGTTCTAACAAGGTGAACTAAAATTTATTGAATCAAGAAAATACACCTTTAGACTCTTTAGAGTTGCCAATCCTCCTGCCCGAAACCTTGTCTTCCAGTACACATGAAATTGAGTCAAAAATAGCAACAACAATTAAGGGTTCTAGTTAATTTACTAATGGTGACAAGATTGAAAGAAAGTTTTGGACCATGGACATCAAAAAGAGTCAAAAGAGGGGTTAATTTGATAGTCCTTTTCCAGCAATTGCTGAGAAGGAACCACCATCAACTCTGACTTCTCTATTTCCTGCATAAGGAGTACAAGTTGAGAGAAAATGGGAATTCCATGTCATGTAATCAGGTACTCAAAAAAACAGATGGTACAATACTTGGTTTGGGAAAAAAACAAGTGAGAGTGGAATGATCAGGTTTACTGGTTTGTAGTTGAGATTGGAGAAGTTCAGTAACTCTAGTTGCTTCTTGGTGAATGGTGACATTATTGGAGAAGGTTTCAACCCTGATTCTTCGAGAGCGACATGGTACTCTAAAAGACCCAGCTGCCACTGTTATCTTCCCCTTACTCTTGCAGTTAGGAAATTTCTCGTGGATTTTCTAGCAAGTTTCACGAGTGCCACTGTATTTGCAAAAATCACACAATGACTTCTTTTTCTTGTGATTTTCATTTTTGCAGCAACCAGAGCGAGTGTGCAAGTATTTTTTGCAAGGATCACTTAATGGCTTCTTTTTCATATCATTTTCATTTTGTAGCAACTTGAGCAGAAGAATCAATATTTTTGCTTCCAAATTGGTGTTTCTTTTTAGCATAACATTCCTCCTTGTTTGTTCTCGTCTACTCCTTCAAAGTTGGCTGGGTCTTTTCAAAGAATTTGTGAAAGAAGTTTGTAGAATTCTTAGTTCAATCTTACTAGAAATTTTCTTCCTTTCTCATTTCTCATACGCTATCCTTAGGACGCTCTCATTCATCATTATAACATTTATCTAATTCTTTCCATATAGAAACCATCTTATTATAGTAATAACACCTCTCTCCCCCTGCCTTCCTTTCTACAATCTGACGAACATTTTCTACATCAGAGTAAGTCTCTCTAGCAGCTCCCCAAATATCTTAACAGTGGGGAGAATCAAATATGGTTTACCTATGGCGGCAGGTTCCATTGAGTTTAATAGCCAAGCGATTACCATTGAGTTTTGTTATCGCCATGCTTTCATATTTTGTGATCTTCATGCATTCATTTTCGGGTCTCTTAGTGGAGGCCTTCTTGTCTATTTAGTTAGGTCTCCAAGTTTTCATTGACCATCAATTACCAAACAGACAGATTGTGCCCATTCCAAATTATTCTTGCCATTCAGCTTGTGACAAGCAAGTTAAAATGATAAATGAGAGGAATCGTGACTTTGCCCTCATAGTTGTCTTGGTCGGAACTTTGTTGATAGAACTCTTAGCTTCTATTGATGCTGCTAGGTGAAGCTTCCATGTAAATGTTGTTTAGAGCCTGTTTGGATTGACTTTTCTTTTGACTTATTTGTAACACTTTCAGCTTATGCTAAGGGCTTATAGGAACTTTTTTGATTTAAGCAAGCACTCTAAAAGTGGTTAATAGTTATTTTGCTTTAAACCACTTAAAATAAGCCAAACCATACAGGCTCTTAATGATGAACAACACAAGAATAAACCAGTTCCGGTACCATAGAAGGAACCAAGAATAAAGTTGTTATGATATCATATGGTATGCAAACACTATGGCAATAGAGATGACGAAACAAACTAGAAATTTGATTCTTGATTTTAGGATTTTTGAGAATCAAAAGATGATTTAAACTGATCTAATTTCCTAAATACTTAACGACATTAGATCTGATTTCTCGGATAAATTAGATCCTACAAATTAAATCTGATTACTATCAAATATTCACAAAACAACTATATTTGCTCTTATTCAATTAAATAACTAGATCTACTAATAACTAAATAGTGAATACGGAAGAGGTATCAGTAATGGACAAAATATATATAAGCAAAAGGAAATTAGACCATAACGAAGAAGGGGAAAACACATATTTTAATATTAATTAAAAGTATAGACTTTAGAAGGAATAGCTATTCGATCTCATTTTTTTACCCATTAATACCTATTTATGATAGTCACCATTAAATAATTACCTTGAGTTGAGGGTCTATCAAGAACAACTTCTCTACCTTTGATGTAGGAGTAAGATCTGCTATATTATAACCTTCCTAGACCCTATTTTGTGGGACTACGCTGGTCTCTAGGTATGTTGTTGTACCTTTAAATAATTAATCTTGTACTTATTTGATCTCATAAAAACTCAGTCTCATATCACAATTCTTGCTTTCCTTTTTTTCCAACTTGAGTTATTAATTTTCTCATCCTTAATTTCTTTCATTTCTATCATCAATTTTGCTTGAAGTGTAGGAACAACTTTAAATGAAGAGAACCATTCTTTTATTTCTTTGGGTGAGGTAGGTCACATCCCTCATTTCCGTAGATTCTCTTTAAATGAATCTTGTATGGAAGAACTTAACTCTTCAGTAGCCACATATTTTCCCTTTTTAATGTATTCATACAAGGCTCTCAAACTATTCTGGAAACCTCTTTCAAATTGTGTCACATAAGCAATGGAATATCACAAGCCTCCGGAAATATTTTCCACAATATTTATCTTTAGTCTCTAAGGAATTTAGAATAAAATATTTTTCATCAATGTTGTGTCCAAATGCACACCGAAGTGTACGTGGTCAAACAAGTAATATAGTGACTCTTAAGATCTGGACTATGAAATCCAAAGGACTTAAACAATTCCATTTGTAACTATAAGTACTCGCTAGTGTGTACATAGAGTTCAAATTGTGTACTAGACTAGTAATTGCTAATCTGGAGTGAACTTTCTTACATGGATAACTGGTCTGCAATTTTGTTCCTTGTACTTGTTCTATTCTTTCTCCGGTTCAAATTCTTGCAGTAGTAAGATCCACCTAATAAGCCTCGGTTTCACATCCTTTTTGTTGAATAGGTACCTAATAGTTGCATGGACAGTGTAAATAATAACTTTCCTACCCACCAAATATGATCTGGACTTGTCAAATGCAAAGACCAAGGGAAGAATTTCCTTTTCAATCACAGTGTAGTTATAAAGGAAAGGAAAAGAAATAAATAAAGATAAGAAATCATCTCCTTCCCTTTGCATGTGTCCCAAGAGGGATGGAGGGAGAAAAATGCTAAATGTTGCTTTTTCTTTGCGTAGTCGTCTAAATGCTTGAGTAGAATCTTATTGGTTTTGAACATGCATGACTACCACCAGGAGAGAAGTGTCTTAATGCTTGAGTAGAATCTTATTGGTTTTGAACATGCATGACTACCACCAGGAGAGAAGTGATGTCTTAGGCTCTGAAGTTGCTTCCAAGAAGGTTAGCAGATCCAGATGGAGGAAGCGCAAGTGGCAACGAAGGAAAACTGTAAGAATAGCTGAGGGTGGAAGAATGGAAAATGGCAGTCAGTGTGGCATGCGGCAAGAATACCAGTCTTCGGAAGAAGCAAAACCAAATTGTTGTTGAAACTGACACCAACGTAACATTGAGGTACCATTTTGGTGTTTACTTTGGTGGACAAAGTACTACGCAGTTTCAGTCACCATCTGAGCTTCCTAGATCAAATGTTTGGGTGAACCCTACAACTTTTATGAATCATACTAGTGAATGCTCACACCACCCATCTCTCTAAACCAATGTCCACAACAATTTTTTGTTCAGGTGAGCAGAATTAAAAACTCAACTACTCTGCAATGATCTGTACGGAAGGTTCCTAACATGAACCAACTATAACTCAAACAGTTGAAGGCCCAGTACTGTTCTGTTTACTTTCTGATTAATTGTATTAGCCGGCAGTAACAAAATCGTAGGAACCCATTTCCTTGACAATTCAAGGATACTGTCAAAGTGCAAGGTGGCTGAGAATACAGCGACCTTTTTGATTTTCAATAATTAGTTTAAGGAAGAATCACTGTTTCTTTGTCAAATCAAAAAAAATGTTTGTTAGTTTAAGGAAGAATCACTGTTTTCTACATTAAGTTCCTTTGAGAAAGCACCGCAAAACACCATTAAGGAGCATAGTTCAAGTTGTAACCAACAGGTATAAATTTTACCAACAATCCTTGTTTCAAAGAGTGCTACTATTTGCTTATTCTCACATTGTCATCTGGTTCTGCCAGTAATTTTTTTAATCGGTTGTCTATATACTTTTTTCCTCTGGATAATGAAGAAAGTCAGTTTTCTTGTGTGCCTTTAAAGCTTTCTAGTTGAATATTTTTCTGATGTTGTAGATCCTGTACAAGTACAGAACTTTCAGTGAAATGTCAAACCTTGCCTATTTCAATGTGCGCTGTTATCACTGCAGATCACTATATTTAAGTGTATTCTGTTAGTTATTATCGAACTTATATATTTAGGAGTAACGGAGGTGCAATGAGAACATTACTATCGTACTAGTATGTGCATGATTGATTACCAAATATTCTTTGAGCTATATCATGACATGAAAAACCATATATTCTGTATAGAAAACCATAATAATAAAAGAACATAGTGTGTTTATATTTCAAGTTAAAAGTCTATTGTAGACTCTGCACATAGAAAACTAAAGTGGTTGGAAAAGGGAGATACAGCTATTTCCCCTACAGAAAAAAGAAAATAAAAATATGATAGCTGTAGGGGAAATATTTTAAAAAATATTTTCAACTTTAAAATTTTATTTTTTACCTAACCCCTGCCCACCCCCGTCAGCCCCCCTCCCAAAAAAAATTATTTCTAAAAAATATTTTCAATTCCATAAATTATATTTTACTCTAATAAAAATAAAAGATGTTTCTCAAAAAACATTTTCATTCATAAATCAAACATTATAAATCATTTCTAGAAAATATTTTCTACTCACCAACCAAATATGAGAAAATAAGTCTAAAATCTACTTGTTTTCAAAATGTTTTCCTTCCCACCAAATACGCCCTAAGACTAAACTATTTCTAATGCCTATACTCACACGATTGTCAGTCGACAGTGAGGTGCATATGCATATTTCTTCTGTATGAACCAAGCAAGGCCAACAAATATTTTCTATTCATGTTAGCCAATCAATTAGCACTCCCTATGGAGTTCAAGACAAAGTTGTACTTTCTCGTATTATGTTTGAAAATTTCCTCTTTTGTGTCCATTTGTCATAGACATTATATGAAAGATGATGATATAATTAAGAGGAAAAAGAATTAAGTAACTGCACGACCCGTAGCACATATCAATTCAAATTCATGTAACAACAATTATGCAACTACCGTAACTTAGAACGAGAAGTTTAGCTCAACAGACATGAAATGTTACAAAAATAATCCATAGAAAAACATTAAAAATAGAAAAACCGATTTTCTTTGACTTCTAACATGATTTCTAGCTTTTTCTGGGTCAAAAATTGTGTCCAAAATGTTCTTTAAAATATTAAGAGTAGAACATATCCTCTCCCCCCCACCCCCTCTCCCCACCCTCCAAAAAAACTAAATCTTGAAACTAGTTAGAAAAAATTGTTAGAACAAAAATACTCAAGAAACTGATTTGAAAAAATTAAATAGAGTGAACTTATGAAATTCTTTGTGTATATTAATTTGCAGAAAGTCTGAATTTATACAAAGAAAAAACATAAACATTAAGACTATAATAAGAACATGTGACACTAACTACCATAAAAGGGGGCCACTAACAGCCATAATGGGGCCACTAACTTCAGAAAGTTGAACAACTAAAGTTGACTAAATATAGCTAGAAAATAGGAAGCACTAAATTGAAATAAGTAAAAAACAGTAATAATAATAATAAGCTGAAAAAATGCCAATTGTCTAACATTTCTCCTTGGCATTTTTGTGGCAAACACCAATTCTTTGCCTCAGATCATCAAACCTTTCCTTTGGCAATGACTTGGTGAAAATGTCAACTAGCTGGTTCTCAGATGAACAATGAACAAGCAACACTTAGATTGTTGGACTTCTCTAATAATATGAAACTTGATCTTGATATGTTTAGTTCGACCATGAAACACTTGATTTTTTGAGATTGAAACTATTGAACTGTTGTCACATATGATCTTGGTAGCTTCTGTTTGTTCATGGCCTAAGTCCTTCATCATCTTCCTTAGCCAGATAACTTGATTCACAGCAGATGCAGCAGCTATGTATCAGCTTCTGTTGTTGATTGAGTTGTAGTTTCTTGTTTTCTAGAGCTCCAACTAAAACAACTTGTCCCCAAACAGAAAAGATATCTAGATGTGCTTCTGGAATCATCAACTCCACCACCTCAATCACTATCAGAGTACCCGATCAGGTTCATAGTTACTTCGGCAGATGTTGGAAAAAAAATTCCAAACTTGCTAGTTCCTTTAATATACCTTAACACTCTTTTAGCAGCTGTGAGGTGTGTATCTCTAGGCGAATGCATGAACCTAGAGAGCAAACTAACAACAAATAGAATGTCAGGCCTGCTTGCAGTTAGATATAGAAGACTGCCAATTAAGCTTCTATACATACTATCATCCACTTTTTCGGAATCCTCATCATTGTCAAGCTTCACACCAGTAGATATTGGAGTACTCACAGGTTTGCACTCTTGCATTTTGAACCTGTTTAAAATATCCGAAATGTATTTCTGATGACATATGAAAATTCCATCACTTGACTGCAACACTTCCATGCCGAGAAAGTACTTGATGACTCCAAGACTAGTCATTTCAAAGATTTTCTCCATTTCATCCTTGAACCTTTGGATTAGATCAATTTTGCTTCCTGTCACAAGCATGCCATCCACATAAATTGAGACAATTAAGGACTCACCTGCAGCATTGACTTTCACATACAAAGTAGCTTCACTTTGACTTCTACTAAAGCCAAGTTGGATGAGATGATTGTCCATCCTCTCATACCATTCCCTTGGGGCTTGTTTTAGTCCATACAAGGCCTTTGTTAAGAGATAAACTTGATCCTCTTTTATAGGAGTTGAGAAACCATCAGGTTGCTCTATATAGATCTCTTCAGCAAGCAAACCATTCAAGAAAGCCGATTTGACATCAAGTTGATGAATCTGCCAGGAACTATGAGATGCAAATGCAAGAATAAGCTTGATTGTGTCATACCTTGCTACAGGATCAAATGTTTTGTGGTAATCCACACCATATTGTTGTGTGTATCCCTTCACCACCAATATAGCCTTATGTTTGCAAATTTTCATCAGGATTGAGTTTTTTCTTGAAAATCCTTTTTACACCAATTACCTTGCGATTTCTAAGTCTGTCAACAAGCTGCCAGGTTCCAATCTTCTCTATCATGTCTAGTTCTTCTTGCATAGCTCTCCTCCATGCCTGAGAGTCTTGTGCTTCAGCATAGCTTGTTGGTTCAGAGCTAACCAAGTTACACCGCTGATAGACATCTTTTAAGGATCGAGTTCCCCTCACTGGTACATCATCCACTAGTTCATCTTCTGAAATTTGAGGCTGCTCTATTGAAAATTAATCAGAATAAGAGTTCTTCTAATTTTTCCAATCCCAACCAGCTGCTTCATCAATCATCACTTCTAGGCTGAGAATTAGTTTGTATGATTTCAAACAGAAAATCCTGTAACCTTTGGATGAACTATAGCCCATAAATATGCCTTTATGAGCCTTGTTATCCATCTTACTCCTTTTTGTTTCTGGAACTCGATAATAACATATACACCCAAAGATTTTGATATGGAGTATTAATGGTTTGTTCCCAAACCAAGCTTCATATGGAGTCATGTCCTGCAAGGACTTAGTAGGCAATTTGTTCAGGAAATATACAGGGGTATTGATTGCCTCAGCCCAAAATTGATTTGGGATCTTTCTTTCGAGCAAAAGATATCTGGCCATCTCCATTATTGTCCTGTTCTTCCTTTCAGACACGCCATTTTGTTGTGGAGTGTATGGTAATGTCAATTGGCATTCAATGCCTGTGCTATTACAAAACTCCGCAAATTGAGAAGAAATGTATTCTCCTCCATTGTCAGACCTTAAAGCCTTAATACTAAGATTACATTTATTATCTACTAAAGCTTTAAATTATTTAAAAACATCAAATACTTCACTCTTCAGTCGAAATAAACCCAACACATTCTGGTGTAGTCATCAATAAAGAGGAGAAAGTATTTGTTACCACTCAGCAAATCTTTTTTCATTGGGCCGCAAACATCCGTATGAATGAGCTGAAGTTTCTAGTTAGCTCTTCGTACTTGATTTGCTTGAAATGGCAATTTTGTTTGCTTTCCCTATTGGCAAGTTTCACAAACTTGAGCATTAGAAAGAAATTCAGGCATATTTTCCACTAGCTCTTTTTTTTCATCTCGGCGATGCTTCTCAGATTGAAGTGACCAAACCTTTTGTGCCATAGGTTTGTACATGTTTGTGAAGTAATAGTGTAAGCCTACTCAATTATTTTCTCCCAATCAACTGAAAACATTCTGTTGCTCATCTTGACATAAAATAACTCTACTCCAGAAGGGTCAGAAGCAACACATTCACGATTCTTAAAATGCAGAGAATAATTATTTTCAAGCATTTGTCCAACACTCAACAAAATTTGCCTCATATCAGGTATGTACAAAACATTAGAAATAGTTTTGATACCTGATATTGTTGAGATAGACACTGTACCTCTGCCATTGACTTCTACTGCCTCACCGTTTCCCACTTTTACTTTAGATTTGTAAGTATCATCTAAGAATTTGAACAGTTCAACATTATTAAACAAGTTATGTGTGCAACCACTGTCAAGAAGCCATGAATCAAAGGATTCAGTGATTGAAAAGTATGAAACTGCAAATAGTTGCTCTTCATGTGCATCGTCATCTGCTTCTACTTGTGCTTGCAAAGCACCAAAGGCCTTTGCTCTTTATTTGAAGACCTTGGATACATGTCCTGTCTTCTTACAGTTGCCACATATAGCATCGACTCTCCCCCAACAATACTTCTCCAGATGTGTATTTCTTTTACAATGTTTGCAAGAAGGGAACTTCTGCTTCACATCTCCACTATTGTTTCCTCCATCATGCTTGCCCTTATTCTTTTGGTGGAATTGTTGCTTTCCTTTTTGCTTTTGTACAGAGAAATCTCCTTCAATGAACTATTCCCGTCTCAAAGTCCTCTTTTGCTCTTGTGCTTGAAGAGCCCTCATTAGTTCACCTAATGAAAGTTTGCTCAGGTCCTTGGATTCTTCAAGAGAGGAAATCTTAGA